GTTGTCATTTATTATCTGCCAGTTTCTTGTTTGCTTATGGATTAATGTGTGCGTACATTGTATTATATATATACATATATGAATCTGACCCTAAGAAATTAGAGGTAGAGAGATTAGGAGACAATCTGATCAGAACAAAAAAGTACTGAATCTTGCTCTGAGTTTGGCAGATCATTATGCTCATCTCCTCTTTTTCTTCCTAAATTAAATTTTTTCTCACTTTCTATTATATCATGTTAATTTTTTTAATGTTACTTCTATCTAACTTGAATAATTGCACAATATATTGGCTAGCCCGAATAGTAACTACTTATCACAAAAACGATGGTAACTAGCTACAAGTTCTTAACATATTTTTGTTTTCATATAAATTTTGTATGTTCAGTAATATTCGAAGATAAAAAAAAAAATTAATACAATGTGTTATATATAACTTATTGTTGAAAAGTAAGCTTATATATAAGTAACACTATAATACAATGTGTTATATATAACTTGTTGTTGAAAAGTAAGCTTATATATAAGTAACACTATAAATCAATGTGTTAGTGTATGCATAGATTAGGACCCATCTATATTCTCTAGTGTAATTACTCGTCAAACAGTAAGTTTGGTCTATTTTATCAACCGCCTAAGAAAAAAGTGACACCATTGTGTTAATAACAATGAATCAATTATATTATACATTTAACACTAATTGACAGAAGGTAGAAAAGACAAGTGGTTAAGTAACTTAAGTTACTTCTCACGAGAACAAAAAAAAATTAGAAGTTGGCTTTGAAAAGATGAAAGTCCGATTAGGTTAAAATCTTAAGCCTATAATTATATGTAAACGTAATGTATCTAAACCGCATACTTAAGAGAGATTGATGTTAAATCCGAATTGGTACCAATTTTTTTCCAAGAATCCAAAAAAAATCATTTTAAATCTGAAATCACAGCAACAACACATCTGAAAGTTTAGCAAAAAATTAAAAAATCCTCTAATTTTGAGTCTTATTGTGGTTGCAATTTCAGTTGTATATATTTCCTTCAGTTATTTATATACATTATTAGAAATATTATAGTAGTTACTTGGCCCGTTTTGTTTTCGTTTTTGTTTCTTGTAGTCCTGTTATATTTCTTGATATATATGCTTCATTTATGAGAAGCTAAAATATTAGTACTAATAAGCAATAAATATAAAAAATTTAAATGAAGATAGTCAAATCAGAGAGTAATAAATATGTAACGCATGGGTGCGCAGGGTCCACATCATAGGGGGCAAAATGATGAGAATGATCTTTTCTTATGTCCCAAAAGGTCACTCACTTTTAACGGGATTTGTTCTTTTTTTAACTATTTTATATCACATTTTTAATTCGAGAACATAATACAAATAAAAAGAACAGTAGTAAATACGTGAAGGCTGATTGTTAGAAATATAATGCATAATTTTGACTTAGAATTCTATAAAATGTTGATAAACGATCATTATTCATAAAAGTAAAATTATTGTTACTGCATTTTTTTACTTGATAAACAAGCTACTTATTTTTTTGTTGGCAATGATTATTGTTCTTGGAAAAATGAAGATAGGTTGAAGAAGTAAAGTCCGTTTTTCAAGGAAAAAAATTGATTGATTGAATTTTGGAGTTTTGGGATTGGACACTCTCTTTCTTTGTCGTTACAAAAACTACTTTTACTCGACCCAGCATTTACTCCTCTTTTCAAAATCTATCAAATCATACTTTTGATTTGTTACACTATGCTCTTGTCATTTATACCAAAATTATTTTATAGTATAAAAAGTAGTAAAAACCAACCCTTTCAAGAAGGAAAGTGTTTTGGTGTGCGCTCGGTGTAAATAAGCATCAGTTTTTCTCCAACAATTTGTATTCTATGCAATTTGAAATCGGATAACATTAAGACATTAGCTAAAACCTACAAATCACTAAAGGTTTTTTGTATGTTTTCATTAAGAAAAATAAATAATTAAAATAGAGAATACGTACTAATTTAAGTTTAATTCGCTTGGATCTGAGATATGTAGACTGCTCAGGGTTTAATTATAAGCATTAAGCAATTGCGAATTGGTTTTAATTGGATTTCATTAAATCGATTAGGTTGGGTGTAATTCACATGTCCACCCCTAAGTATATTCAAGTTAGAGGTTTTGAAATATAAATACTGTGTAGGTAAATAATACTACTATGCCTAAACAAAATTAACACAGAACACGAGCAATTGTAGTAATTGACTTCGTGACATTGAAAATCACAAAGACACTTGCTTATGAGTGAGCTGGGAACCCAAAGTCTTTAGTTCCCCAAGTTTTGAAAAAATCTACCAATGATCAATTCTTTCAGTTCCAACTAACTTCCTTTATGGTCTCTGCTTACCATATTGTAATAATAACTAATAGTGTAAAAATTACTATTGTATTTATTAATCCAAACCTACCACAGACACAATCTTATACTCCATCCGTTTCAATATATAAGTTGTTTTAGAGTTTTATTTTTGTTTCAAAATATAAGTTGTTTTGACAATACTAGGTACTTTTCAACTTTATTGAATATTGTGTGACCATTAGTATTTTGCAGTCTTTTGTGTGATTGGTCAAATTATTTTTATTAGATATATTAAATGATATTTTTTAGTTGAAAAGTAGTTTTTTAATATACGTGTTTTTTACTAAAACAACTTATATTTTGAAACAGAGGGAGTACTATCATGCATGGATATTGTATATAAGATCTTGCACACGGCTTAGCGTAACATTTCAACAGCTTGCAAAAACAATTATCAGTCTCGAAGATATGAACATAATAAATCAAAAAGAAAGAAATAGACGTGTTCGTTTTTTTTTATACTTG